AGTTGAACGTTTTCAGGGGGAAAATCCGGGATGCCACCGCATGGGATCTCCGGATCGAAACTTTTGAGAAGGTAAAGATTCTCAGATTTGATTATGCCTGGATATAATTCCAGGTTGAATCCAGCACTCCCCCTTGGTACGGCTAGGGCGGTCTTTGGAAGATTTTTCCCATCTCCAAAAAAAAAAAAAAAAAATTGTATAATAAAAAATATATGTAGTTACTATGTCTTTAATTGGTCTTTAATTTTACTAGCCACTTTTTGCAAGTTTTATATAATCATGACTGAAACTTAAATGCGAAATAAATTGTAGGCTCCTGCCGATAACCACACCGTCCTATAGTATCGACCGTACAGAGTCGAGAGGCGAAGTAGTTACTAAAAAGAACGCACTCAGGCTAGGCGTCTTCTTCGAGAAAGATTTACAACGGCTCGGCATTGTACAAACAAGACTCAAATACATTGTTATCGTTAAAGTGTATTCGTAGTGCTTATTTCATCCCCTCCGATCATCGGATCTAGTGGGCATCCTCATCGGAGCGGCTAATTAAACACAGCCCACATTGGTGACCCCGACGTTCGTTAAGCACAAAAGACGAAGCGATACGCAGAGCATCAACGCTCGTCAAGCATAACGACAAAGTAATACGCAGAGCATCTCGAACACTCAAGCCTTCCGTAAGAAGCGCTAGAAGCCGAGTAAATCCCGCACATCGTCGGGACAGTCCTCAACGAGCCCAATTTTGGACGAGTCGATCTTCCCAACGCCAAGGAGACGACGTACGAAGACCACGACAGGCCGGACAACTGGACGGACACATCCTGCAAGTCAGCGACACGCGCCAGCGTACAGCTAAGTCCGTGTTAGATTAAGCCGCCAATTCACGATAAGTTTCGCGCGCTTTACGATAACGTAACGACTGCGTGGTGACGCGTATAATTTTTCGTCGCGCGTAATTTTTAGTCAACCGCCATTATGTCGGTTCCGGGCCAGGCAGACAGCGACGACGCTCAGGTTAGCTCATATCGCGTGCCTAAAATACCACCTTTTTGGCGTGATGATCCCGAAACATGGTTCTTACAAGTGGAAGCAACATTTCGAATCGCAAATTGTAAGACAGACCGTACCAAAGCTGACTATCTTATCAGTGCGTTAGAGAGCGAGGTCGTGCAACATGTCCGAGACCTCGTTAATGCGGATCCCCCTCCCGAGGATTTTTATCAAACTCTTAAAAAACGAATTCTGTCAGCCTTTTCAACTTCACCAGAAGCGCGTCTTCGTCAGTTGTTGAAGGGTCAATCGCTAGGTGATCAAAAGCCGTCACACCTGTTAAATCGTATGCGCCAATTGAACGGCGGTCAATGCAGTTCAGCGGTATTAAAGTCTCTATTCCTCGAACAGTTGCCAGAGTCTCAACGAGCGATCTTAGTAGCGATGAACGAACCCGACCTTCAGAAAATCGCAGACATCGCAGACAAAATTGCCGACATGAGTAGTTTGGATAGTAGTATGGCGATAGCTCCTATTCGGTCGCATCCGGGTACAAACAAAACACGTTTGCTCAAAGACACGAACGACCCATCTAACACAGAAAAACAACTTGCAGAGATCATTAAACGTCTGGATTCGCTCGATAGCAAGTTTGAAAAATTCAAACGAGACCGTTCTCGCTCCCGCCCAAACTCCACACAGCGAGATCAACGTACATCCGACGTTAAACCCGGCTTATGTTTTATACACCAAAAGTACGGTAAAAACGCGACTTCCTGTCGAAAACCATGCTCGTGGGTAGGCGAGGAGACTTCGGAAAACTAAATACACCTTCTCGATCCGAGGCAATCGCGCAAGGTGAACCTAAACACAATCGCCTCCACATCCGCGACCGTAAATCCGGTCATCGTTTTCTAATTGATACCGGCGCGGAAATTTCAGTGTTAGCCGCCTCTTTAACGCAGAGAAAAACTCCGTCAGAGCTCAAATTATACGCCGCAAACAATACACGTATCGATACGTTCGGCGAACGCCGTCTTACTTTAGACATAGGATTACGTCGAGCTATCACGTGGAATTTTTGTTTAGCTGCTGTGCCATTTTCAATTATTGGTGCAGACCTTCTAAAACATTATGGTTTAGATGTTAGTCTGAGTAGGCGCTGCCTCTTCGATAGCACTACCAAATTATATACCACAGGCAGTATTAGCACCGTTCCGGACTTATGCCTTTCTACAGTAGATCATTCAAATAATTTTGCCAAAATCCTCACTGAATTCCAGGAAATCACCGGCGTGTTGCAACAGGCCACGCAGAAAACCAGCGATGTTGAACATCATATTCTCACAAATGGCCCTCCTACTGCGGAACGTCCTCGACGTTTGGCACCGGATAAATTAAAAGCCGCAAAGGCTGAATTCAAACGACTCATGGAGCTAGGGATTTGTCGGCCTTCGAGCAGCCCGTGGGCCAGTCCAATTCATCTAGTTCGAAAAAAATCAGGCGAATGGCGCATATGCGGCGACTATCGTCGTCTTAACGCCATGACAATCCCGGACAAATATCCAGTCCCACATCTCCACGATTTTTCGGCGAACCTACAGGGAAAGAAAATTTTTTCTTCACTCGACCTCTTTAGAGCGTACCACCAAATCCCCGTAGCAAAAGATGACATCCAAAAAACTGCGGTCATCACCCCTTTCGGCCTATTCGAATACGTCTCAATGACCTTTGGCCTTCGCAACGCCGCACAAACCTTTCAGCGGTATATTCACCGCGCACTCAAGGACCTTGATTTCGCGTTTGTGTACATTGATGATATCCTCATCGCATCCCCATCAGTAGAGGAGCATAAGGAACATCTTCGTACAGTCTTCCGTAGACTCAAGGAATTCGGATTATTTATCAACCCAACTAAGTGCGTTTTCGGTGTAAGAGAAATAACCTTCTTAGGCCATCTTGTTAACTCCCAGGGTTGCAAGCCCACTATAGAAAAAGTCGCAGCTATACAAAATTTTCCTAAGCCGCGCACAGTCGTTGAACTTCGACGGTTTCTAGGTACGTTAAATTTTTACAGGCGCAGCCTTCCGCATGCTGCGAGCGCACAAGCTCCTCTTCACGTTTACTTGACGGATTCGCGCAAGAACGATAAACGGGAAATAGCATGGTCACCGGAAGCCGAAATTGCATTTCTAAAAGCCAAACAGGACCTGGCAAACGCAGCCTTATTAATTCACCCGTCCGATACAGCGGAAACACGCATCGTTACAGACGCGTCCGACACCGCCGTGGGAGCTGCTCTTGAGCAGCGCTTATCCGATATTTGGAGACCCCTCGCTTTCTTTTCACGCAAGTTTACCGCATCTCAGCGAAAATACAGCGCATACGATCGCGAGTTAACGGCAGTTTACGAGTCGATCAAGTTTTTCAGACATTTTCTGGAAGGTCGCCCGTTTAAAGTTTTAACTGATCACAAACCTTTAATTTACGCCTTCAAGCAGCATTCTGACAAAGCCTCTCCTAGGCAATTGAGGCAATTATCCTTTATCGCCCAATTTACTACGAATTTTGAATATCTACCGGGCGCAGATAACGTAGTAGCAGACAGCTTGTCACGTATAGAAGCTTTACACCTTCCCGTGGAAGTGGAACTAGTCGAGCTAGCGGAGCAACAATCACTGGATGGCGAACTTAAGCATTTGCTAAATTCTAAAAACTGCTCCCTTAAATTTAAGAAATTTATATGGGGACCAACTCCTCACACCGAATTATATTGTGAAATGTCAGGCGAATCCATACGTCCTTATATTCCAGTACCCCTTAGGAAGCGAGTTTTCGACATATTTCACAACCCAGCTCATCCTAGTGCGAAGGTCACCGACCAAATAATTCGTCAAAGGTACATTTGGCCTAATCTACACCGCGACGTCGCCGAATGGGCTAGAGCATGTACTGACTGCTAACAGTGTAAAATCACACGGTACGTCAAACAGATTCCCACGCATTTTACCGCTCCTGACGCACGTTTTGAACATGTCCACATGGACATTATTGGCCCTCTGCCTCTTTGTAATAACTACAAATATTGTTTAACGCTTATCGATCGTTTTTCGCGCTGGCCAGAAGCTGTTCCCCTCCGCGACATATCAGCACGAACAGTGGCACAAGCATTTTACGATAATTGGATCGCACGATTCGGCGCGCCACGAATTCTGACAACGGATCAAGGCGCTCAGTTCGAGTCTCAACTCTTTTCTGCCCTTTTATCGCTCGTAGGCTGCAAGCGAATTCGCACTACTGCGTATCACCCAGCCGCGAACGGCTTAATAGAAAGGTGGCATCGCACCTTAAAAGCAGCCATAATGTGCCATAACACACCAGATTGGGTTAGCGTACTATCAACGGTCATGCTCGGATTACGCACACACGTGCGCTTAGACACCGGCGCGTCCCCAGCGGAATTCATATATGGAACAACCTTACGTGTTCCAGGCGAATTTTTCATACAACAAAATGTTACCCCGGACCCACAAATCTTCCTTGAAGATTTCCGCGAGTATATGCGCCAAATAAAACCTATACCGGCGGCACATCACAACAAAAAACGCCCATTTTGTTTTAAGGATCTGTACTCTTGTACTCACGTATTCCTTCGTTGCGATGCGGTTAAAAAACCACTCGAACGACCGTATACTGGCCCCTTCAAAGTTTTACAACGAGACTCCGAACAAGTCTTCACGCTTGAAACCAATGGTAAACCTCAGAGTGTGTCCGTCGAAAGACTTAAACCTGCACACTTCATTAATGATAAGACTGATGTACCTATTGTAACCGATGCTCCGCAGATTACTAATTCATGTAATGCGTTACCAAAGACGTACTCTAATCCTAAGAAACATGTAGCTTTTAAGTTAACTTAAGCATTTTGTACTCAAGATTTTATTTTTTATTCTCGTTGCGTCCACAGTAGTGTAAGCTTAGCTATTAAGAACATTGTAACCATTTAGCCGTATATGTTAAGCAACATTTTTTTTTATATATATATAACGTTTACACTCAGGGGGGAGTACTGTAGGCTCCTGCCGATAACCACACCGTCCTATAGTATCGACCGTACAGAGTCGAGAGGCGAAGTAGTTACTAAAAAGAACGCACTCAGGCTAGGCGTCTTCTTCGAGAAAGATTTACAACGGCTCGGCATTGTACAAACAAGACTCAAATACATTGTTATCGTTAAAGTGTATTCGTAGTGCTTATTTCATCCCCTCCGATCATCGGATCTCGTGGGCATCCTCATCGGAGCGGCTAATTAAACACAGCCCACAAGATTGCGCAACGCGCGTCGCATAGCGGTAAACGAACGAACTAGCAATTACCGAATATTGCTTTTGTAATGTTTTTGGAATGTTGCTGTCACATTCTCACGAAATATTACAATTACATGTTCCAATAATGTCTCAACAATATTACATTGCAACTTGCAAAATTGTAACATTGCTGCAATGTAATTGCAATGTTCTGTGCTGTATAGGATGTTACTTTAAAATTTAATTATCGTCGATTAAATATTTGATTAAATAAATGTAAAAATAATTTTATATACATTATATAATGAATATATACATATATATAATGTATATAAAATTATTTTTACATTTATTTAATCAAATATTTAATCGATGATAATTAAATTTTAAAGTAACATCTACGTAAAAAATGTTAGCATTTATTTTCTATAATATTGTTGCGCCTGCAGAACGAGATATCACACGCGTCAACGGAACTCGCGGAAAATAAGTAAAACAACACAACACTTTATAAGAGAAAACACTTTAATTATAAACACTCAACATTCAACAAATAATAAACGGAAATATAATTCAATATATCAGAGCTGTCATAAACGTCCGTTCGAGCAGACAGCTATGACAGAAGATCTGACATATAACAGCTTGTTTACAAACTGTCATAGAGACCCTTTAAACCGCTAATCGATATCGTCTTGACAACAAAAATAAGAAAGATTCTTGTTATTTACAAATGCCATATGGCTTCAACTTATAGTGACCGATCGATATTATCGATCGGTCCGTCAGCTGTAACACACAGCATCAGCGGCGAAAAGCACAGGCGCAAACACTGCCCTCCTTCTTCAAGATTGTCGTCCCGACAATTTTTCTTGAAATCAATCCAGGAAAGTTAATTGTTGTCTTCGAACTTCTAGTGTCGACTCCAGGACATTTTAACGACTTCCTGCTCTACCTTGTGCTGCTGCATCAAGTTACCGAGCGCCGCTATTTTGATCCCAATCGAACACCTTTGAACTTGAAAACCGTCGACTCCAGGGTACCCTCTTGGTTTCTTGCTCTACCTTGTGCTGTTGCAACAAGTTACCGAGCACCAATCCAGGTCCCAATCGATTAACTTCCTCTCACCGTCTTTAATTCCTATGCCGCCGCTCTTCACAATTCTTCGGATAAGAGAGGGGTATCTGCCGTGAACCCATCGCCCTAAGAAGGACTTCTTAAGTCCCTGCCTGAATTAATTCGTGTTGAATGCTCCGACTTAATTAAAATATAACCCGCTAATTGATTATTACGCTCAACTTTTATCGACTTTCCCTTTGGAGAGATTCTGTACGACTGCCGACTCGTATGCTGCCGAGAAACCCAAAGGAATTTTGTTTACGATTCGCGATTTTTCACGTGTATTATGCGTGATTGACGAAAACAATCACGCCAAATATGCTTGCCGGGAAGTGCTGCCTCTCCGGCTTCACGCGGATTATTATTGATTCCGACTGTATCCGCGGATTATAATTCGATTATCGACCGCTGTCACGAAATCGATTGAATCTGCAACATACCGCCTCGAAATTATAATTTCGAAACTTATTACTTATTGGAGTAAACCTTTAGTCTTTGTAAGTATGCATCTCTAATTCGTGTAAAGGTTCGCTGCGGTGATTTGAACAAAATAGAGACCGCGTGGCGGTTCGATAACTTAACTTAGCTTAACGATTATTCGCATTACAATAAAATATGAATCGTTTTACATGACATCTCCGTTTTGAGAAATGAGCCATTGATTTGAGATACATGTTAACCATTACCAAAGTTACAAGACTATGAATACATGACGGTGATCTAGATAATATGTACTTAACTACACTCACCCGAAAAAAAAGCGGTACACTGAAAATGTGGGAAAAATTCATCAAATTTCAACTGACGATAACTTCGTAAATAATAAAGATAGAAAGTTCTATAAAATATGGAAATGAAGCTAAAAATCTCTACTTTAAGAATCAATTTATTTCAATGTTGCAAAATAAATTTATTGAAAATGGCGGATGACAAAGCGCGAGCATGCAAAATTGAAAAATAATGGTTCGAGTTTACGACGGTGCACGGTATAAACAAAAAATTGTAGCTTATTGGGATCAAAAGCGTACGAAAGTACAGAGTCTCCTCTTTAAAATGCTTTT